CTGGAGAAAGCACATTCGCACAGCTCCTGGCCCTGGGACATTTTGGTTCCAGGTATTCACAAACGTTTTTGTAACTTGCTAGCACATGAGAGAACTATTAGGTTGTTAGGAAAGTCATGCCATATATATATATATTTTTTATGTTTTTCTATGCAAAAATGTGTCAGGACTTTCCCGACGACCCAGTAGGTCCTGACACTACGAGAACGCTGGTAGGAGGCAGTGCACTGGAGTCCACAGGGCGGGCTCCAGGTTTTGCAATAAATAAAACTTTATTCAAACAACCTCAGTAGAGGGCACAATTCAGATTATTTTTAAAAAAAAAGAAAAGAAAAAAAGGAAACATTATTTTCAGGCCTCTACATCTTCATGCCAGCGTTCTGTCATGCCTACATCCATCCATCAAGTAGGGGCCCCCGGATTTGGAATCTCTACACAACTGGCCACCTGCACAGAGCTTTGTCATGAGCTAGGCCCACAATCTACGTAGGTATCCATCCTCACTGGCCCCTTTCCTCGCTGTGTGGTCTCAGGCAAGCAGCTTCCATGTTTAAAAGCCAGTACATCAGGGACCAGCAGGTGGTGGTTAAGGTGCTGGGCACTCCCACATGGCCGACTATGGTTCGAGTCCCGGATCTGGTAGCTTGCTTTCTCACTTTCCCTCTTTCTGTGTGTGTGTGTGTGTGTGTGTCTTGTGTGTGTGTGTGTGTGCATGTGTGTGTGTCTGGTCAAATTAAAATAAATACAAGAATAGATCAAATAATTTTTTAAAAGCCAGTACATCAGATGGTCAAAGCAATCACTCTATCTTCAAAAGTCCACAAAAGGACAAAGTGGAAAATGAAATGTTCTCTTTTTCCTCTCTTATCACATGTACCCCCCATTATCAGCTGCAAGCATACCCTTTCAGTGGGGGAGACTGTGTGGCTATTCCTGCATACATGCATACTCCAAACACATACACATGAACATGTGTGTGCTCCAGATGCATACACACAGATACATGTATGCTTCAAACACGTACCTATGGATACCTATGTGCTTCAAACATATACATGCAGCATCATGCTACATAAACTTGTTTTTTTGTTGTTGTTTAAGAGAGGTTTCTGCTATAGGGTGCGTGCACTCGCTGGAAAGACAGTGAGAGAGAGAGAGAGAAAGAAAGAGAGACATCCCCCAGGGTTAAGGCCACCCACAGTCCCTTCTCCATTTTTCTCTTGGGATTTTGGCATGCGCACACACACACACACCCAGCATGAGTTTTAAGCCACCAGGTCCGGGACATGAACCTCAGTCAGCCATGTGGGAGTCCTGCAACATAACCACTACGCCATCTGCTGCTCTCCATAAACTTGTGTTTACACCTTGTTTTTATTTTTGCACATAAAAGAATGTGTCTTAGTGATGTTTTCTGCACATAGTGATGAACACCTTCCTTTTGAACAGTTGGCACAAAATTCCATTTGAAGAGCATCCAGTAATTTAACCAGCATTTATTGGGAAGCATTTAGCTTTCTCGTTTCTTGTTTCTTTTTG